TGTTAGATGGTTAATGCTGTCATTAGGATCAGGGCCAGACATATGTCTATAAACCTCTCTTCCAGTGTCTCCCATGGCCCATCTGTTCAACCAAGTCTCTTTGTTTATAGCTCTTATCAGTGTTTTTGCTGTCTGGAGGGTTGTCGCTGTAGGTGGTTGTTCTTGTGTTGCTCCTTTCTTTGCCAATCTGTCAGCTCTGTCATTACCTGGTGTGCCGGAGTGACCTGGAATCCACTGCATCACTATTCTGATGTTGTATGAGGTAATAAGATGATCGGCATCCAGGATTATCTTGGCTATGTCAGTTCTGCAGCGTTCATTGCCCTCCAGAGCTTGAAGGGCAGACATTGAATCTGTGAAGATGACAATATTTTGGACCTTTGAGGGGTAAACATCCATTACAGTCTTTAGGTGGTATACTGCTGTTTCCAGTGCAATTATTTCAGCTTCATAGTTTGAACAGAATTCCCCGCATGCATCAAAAATCTTTCCTGTTTACATTTGACCAGTTTGGCCGAAAGTTTTATATTATGAATTATGTACAAATAACCATAGTTGACATATATGGTGCTATTTTATGAAATGATTACATTTTTATGGGTAGAACAAAGATGGGTCCAAGATAAAACAAAATTACACACTGCAACATGTTGGATGTGTAACAACAAGTATGTTCTGATGGATCTCAGGTGGAGCAAAGATGGATCCAGCTGGGGTGGACCTCACATAAACGGATACCTAAAGTTATTATGCATCTCAGGTCAAATCAAGGTATTTTAAGATATGACTGATCACGGACGAAAGGAAAACAGTTTATTTTCTTCTTCTTTAACTGTAAACTCCGGCAGAAAAGTTCTGGCTGTTCGTCCACTTCTGGACTCTAGTTGTGTTCCAGAAACCGAGTGATGTGTGTACATCCGTTTCACAGGTCTGAGTTTTTTGCATGCAGATTGTTGGTTCCTTGCCTCTCAGGCAGATGTACTCCAACTTTGAAGGAAGCTCCCAATTAGTCGACTCTTTTGACATGCTTTTGGGCAGGCAGTGGGTCTATTCTTGTTTTCCCCACAATGGGACCCAGGAACCCATGCTGGGTTTATAATCTATGATAGTTTAATTGAGAAACTGGAAAAAAGACATTGTATACTTTGATGGATCTCAGGTAAAACAAAGATATGTTAGGCTGTTAGTTAGTCAACAGATCATCCTTACTGCACACTGAACCACTCAGTCCATAAGTGCTCACATCTCCTCCTCAGCAGCACACAACAGCTAATGACACCATTACTGAAATTTTTTCTTTAGCTTCTTGCCTAACACTCTAGTCTAGCCACACCACTTTTAACTTTCTTGCAGTCTGGTCATGGTTGCAAATTCACAGTCATTGCTTGGGTCGCACTAAGTTCTCATAGACCATTCAGTATATCAGCTTAGTCCATGGCTCCGCCGCCCTCACCACAGCCCTACCAGCCAGTCTACCAGATCGCTCATTCACTTGCACACAAGTTAAAACGGATCTTTGTCAGCCCAGACCGCCTCAGAGACACCAACTGCATTTCTTGTGTCGGACTGTCTGTGTTAGCAGAAAAGTTCTGGCTGTTCGTCCACTTCTGGACTCTAGTTGTGTTCCAGAAACCGAGTGATGTGTGTACATCCGTTTCACAGGTCTGAGTTTTTTGCATGCAGATTGTTGGTTCCTTGCCTCTCAGGCAGATGTACTCCAACTTTGAAGGAAGCTCCCAATTAGTCGACTCTTTTGACATGCTTTTGGGCAGGCAGTGGGTCTATTCTTGTTTTCCCCACAATGGGACCCAGGAACCCATGCTGGGTTTATAATCTATGATAGTTTAATTGAGAAACTGGAAAAAAGACATTGTATACTTTGATGGATCTCAGGTAAAACAAAGATATGTTAGGCTGTTAGTTAGTCAACAGATCATCCTTACTGCACACTGAACCACTCAGTCCATAAGTGCTCACATCTCCTCCTCAGCAGCACACAACAGCTAATGACACCATTACTGAAATTTTTACTTTAGCTTCTTGCCTAACACTCTAGTCTAGCCACACCACTTTTAACTTTCTGTTCTTGCAGTCTGGTCATGGTTGCAAATTCACAGTCATTGCTTGGGTCGCACTAAGTTCTCATAGACCATTCAGTATATCAGCTTAGTCCATGGCTCCGCCGCCCTCACCACAGCCCTACCAGCCAGTCTACCAGATCGCTCATTCACTTGCACACAAGTTAAAACGGATCTTTGTCAGCCCAGACCGCCTCAGAGACACCAAGTGCATTTCTTGTGTCGGACTGTCTGTGTTAGCACTTCCGATGGCTACCATATGCTTTTAATGCGTGTGTATGCTAGTGCATATGCTGAGACAGCAGTCTGTCAATCTTTCCACAAGGGACTGCAACGAACATTATGTGTGTTTTTCGTTGGCACGGAAGCGGAGCAACTATGGGGTGACTTGTTTGCTATGAAGCTGAAACTAAGATTACCAACTACTGTCTTCAGACCCAGCCCATGTTCAGCTGTTATTGTTATAATTTAAAAAAAAAAAAAAACAGATCTCGGATGAAAGAAAAAAGTTCATAATCTACGACTACGATAAGTCAAATGAGAAATTGAAAAAATAAGCCATAAGGTGTCTGGAGACAAGAAAATGGCTATCTCTGATGGATCTCAGGTGACAAGTATGGTGGATCTCAGGTGACAAGTATGGTGGATCTCAGGTGACAAGTTAGGTGAATCTCAGGTGACAAGTTAGGTGGATCTCAGGTGAAATAACAGAAACTAGATTCTATGATGGATCTGTGAACCAATATAACTTAAAATTCTAAGATGGATCTCAAATGAAACAAAAGAATGTGCGATGGATCACTAATGAAAAGAGACACTATGTAGGATAAACTGAAAGTGAAACAAGAGACTAAAGTCGGAGCTTCCCTTCGAAAACAGCTTCCAATAAACTTCATCAACGTGTTCATCGGCTATAAACTCTAGCAGAAAGTTGTTTGTTCATTCACCTTTTTTCCCGGAACTGTAGTGTTGCATGTATATCCATTTTAAAGATCCTCTGAAGGAAGCTCCCAGTTGGTGGAATCTTATGACATGTGTCTGTTGGGAAGTCAGTGGGTCTGTTCTTGTTTTCCCCACAATGGGAGCCCTGAAGCCCACATTGGAACCCAATTGTTTGCACATAAAATTCCCCCACAGAAACAGAAACTGCATTTCTAAAATACGAACATGTATTTGTTATTTATACCCTCAAGGAAAGCAAAGCATAGTTAGTTGGTTAGCTAACATAGTATTCTCATTGCAAATGGAAACATTGAGTCCATAAGCGCACAGATCCCATCCTCAACAAATCCCACAGCTTGTATCAGCAGACGACACCAGTTCTGTATTGATATTTTTCTTTTGTGTTGGGAAATCAACAGACAGATAGACTTACTGGCTCTGCACAACTTGGTGGAATACTGATGCATGATAAGGCAGACGTGGTTAATGCCTTGAGGAAGAGCGTGTACAGTTTGGAGAAGCAGATGGATCACCACAGTCTGGTGGGATTGATGCAGCGGAAAGTGATGAGGGGTTCTGGCCGATGCTAGAGGAAATCAAGACGGACGTTTAATCAGAATGCTAATGATACCATTAGTATTGGAACTCTGCGCTGGCTGCTAAAGATGGGGATAGAGAACTTATGGGAACACCCTAAGTGCTGTGATGTCGGTTCCTGAACAAACTCGTCAAACCTCGCCCCTTTCAACTTGTTCTAGCACTCAACGATGAAGTAACATCGAACAGGATCCGCACTGAGATAACCTGTTAACAAATTAACTAGTATGTCCTTGCAGTGGAATTCACAGTGCCAGATGAATAAAGGTAGACACCCCCCCCCCCCCCCCCCACCCCATCCAAACAAAAATAAAAAACTACATGAAGAAACTCTTTTTTGCCCCAAACAACGCACTATGCATGACTGGGCATTACTCGCAGGTACAAATCAATATGTTATGCATGTTTCTATATCATATGTTCAGTCAGGGACTATGAAGAACATATCTGTTTCCTGCTAGGGTTGTATACCTGCGCTCCCGGCCCCCATGTGTTATCCCAGAGAAATAACAAACACCCCATAGAAGAGACCAACCAATAATCCCAGAGAAAGAACAAAGAGCTCCAGAGAAAAAACAACAACTCCTGGAGAAACTAGCCAATTCCTCTTCTGCGCTTGACCTTAAACCTGCAGCTGGCACACTGTGTTGCAGTTTACAGCTACGCTGCGATATCTGCGCCTTTCACCAGCACATCCACAATTAGCTGTCTTATTTGACATGACTGTTGGGGGGGCAGTGGTCTATTCTTTCGCATCAAAATAGAGCAGCAGATGGTAACAGAAACGTTAGTCCCCCCCCCCCCCCCCCCCCCCCCCCCCCCCCCCATATACACTAGCTCACTTCCGACTGGTCGATCTTCAGCCTAGCTCACTTCTGATTGGTCGACCTTGAGCCACCTGACCTTGACACAAGGTGACGGGGGTGTTCCCCGATGCCGCTGATATCTCTTCTATATTACAGCATTCCAGCGCCTCTAACACTCCAAAAACATTGACAAACTGTGTCTAACACATAACCCCTTTAAAGAGTGATCAAACCTATGGCACAAGCATTCTCTTTCTTGGAATTAAAAAAAGTAAATGCAAGACATCTCAGAAAGCAAACAACAGAGCAGCACACCAATGACGTCCAGCAGGTTAGACCAGTCCAAGAAAGTTATCAATGGAACGTGACCTACTTTCTGTGGGGAGACTAACGTTTGTTTGGCCCAGCCGAACCTTCCCAAGGCAGACCACCCAATGACCCCGTAGGAAGCACCATCAATCAAACCCTGGAAAGATCAACCAACAGCCAGTCAAACAAGCACATAGAACATGATAATATAATTAAAATTTTCTTTATGGAAACAAACAGTATACAGGTCTACAGAAAGGACCGCAGGCTAAGAGTCCCCATCTTCCGGAGCCCGCAGTTCCTTGATCTGCTTGATGAGGTAGCTCTTCTCATCGTTAAACTGCTCGTCCTCGGACCTCTCCGTGTGGAAGCGGGTCAGGAAGTCTACGAGCTTTTCTTTGTTTCGCAGCAGAATGTCCAAGATTGGTCGTGGTTTGTTAGGGTTGGCCACAAAAATCTGCAGATGATAACATTTACAATCAGTTAGGCGCCCTGACATTAGGTCACAATTCGAAATCAGTTATGAAGCCCTGACATTAGGTCACAATTAACAATCACTTAACCCTTTTCAATCCCAAGCAATACATAATGTATTACTGGCTCACCCCCTGAATCTCAGTCAAGTTCTATGGTGTCCTTGAGGTACAGTCTTTGGTGAGAAATGATTCGACTGCAAAGACTGTACTTCAAGGAACGCAGGAAGGGCGGGGGGTAGTCAAAGAAGAGGGAAGCCAGGAAGAACCTGGAATGACAACCTCGAGAAATCGACCAGACTAAATTCTCGCACACTTCTTCAACAGGAAAGAGAAAGACCGCAGGTGTTGTGTGATGGCGCTTCCATCGACACACGGGTCAAGGGTTATGTTATTCTGTCTAATCCTTCTCCTTTTGATCACAGTAAAAACATCTGGCTTTTTCACTGGCCATTGTCCTCCTGTATATAAACCCTTGAAAAAACAATACATCCTTGATGAATGAATAAATAGAAACTGACATTATTGCACTCGGGACATTCCTTCATGTGCTCCGTCTCCCTTCTAAGTAGCCAATGAAGAGTCAACATGCTAACTACCAGTTGCAGCCGGATTTAAAAGTCTGCCTATGTTTCCTTCCCTTTCCTGTGTTGCATATCTTCTAGAACCTCCCCCCCCCCCCCCCCAACCCCCCTAGCAGCAGCTAATCTATCAGCCTGTTAATTTCCCTGCACACCCTGAACAGAAAATCCACAATATGTTCCTATCTGAGTCTTATCAAGGGATGCAAGACTTTCTACGTATAGGACATCAGTTTTAATTTTCCAAATCATGCAGAAAAAGAAGGCGTGAGAAGTAATTTTTAAAATAAAGCAGAAAAGAAAGAGGACAAAAGAGGTGGTAAATAAAAGTGGAAACAGTCAAAGAATGATACCTTGAAAACATGAAAGGCCTCAAACTGAATGTTTCTAGATTTTTCTCTCAGCAAATTCATCATCAGCTTTAGGTTCTCTGGGTTACTGATGTAGCGGTTCATGGTGCTGAAGTTGTGGCGGTCCAAAAGCAACTCTCCCAACAACTGTAACAAGTATAAGCAACTTTATTGTGTGTGTGTGTGTGTGTGAAGCAGATTACAAGGCACAGCATTCATGAACAACATATCCTCGTGTGGGTTCCGAGGCCCCATCGTTGGGGTAAAACCAGAATACACCCAATCCATCCCCAACAAAAATGTCGTAAGAGTCAACTAAATGGGGGCTTCCTTCGAAGTCGGAGTGCATCTGCCTGAGAGGCAAGGAACCAACAATTTGCATACAGATAAGTGATATGTGTAAAACAGATGTGCATGCAGTACTCAGGTTCTGGAACAAGACTAAAGATCTGGAGGTAGACGGATACCCAGAACTTTCTGCCAGAGTTTACAGTCGGTGAACATGGAGAAGAAGAACATAAACATCATACTTCAGAACGAATGAACAAACAAGCAAGCTAACAAACAAACACAAGCCTGTCTAACATTTTGCCCTTCCAGTCCAATCCTAGTACACAGTCCAATCCTCGCACACAGTCCAATCCTGGCACAAGTCCAATCCTGGCACAAGTCCAATCCTGGCACAAGTCCAATCCTCACATACAGTTACTCATTTGTACATCATTTCACAGTTAATGAATTTTAAAAAAATGTTTACAACATCTGACAGAAAAGCGAAGACAGATAAGCAAGAGGCAGACAAAATACCACAGCAAATGAGGATTTACAGACCAGGCGGGAAGCGAAGAAAAGGACGACCATGTGAGCTATGGATAGATGGAATAGCAGAGTCCCCATTTACGAAGCACACAAAGGGGCACTTTCCCATAATTTGTACTTCACCCCGACCCTGCAAGGTACAAGAAGATCAAGACAAGATTTGGATATCCTTATTTCCTTACACCATTTATTTCCCATTACAGTGCCTGTTTGGTTATTCTCTATTCATTTCTCCTCGAGATGTGCTAATAAATCACCATCTTCTGTGTCTTTAAACTGTAGATACCAGTGGCTCTTCTTTCTTTGTGCTGACCCGCTGTGAATTCCAGCAGATCCCTGTGTGGGTTTCGGGGCCCTATAAAATGACCTATAAAGGGAAAATGTGAATAGACCCACTGCCTACCCAAAAGCATGTCGTAAGAGTCGACTAATTGGGAGCTTCCTTCGAAGTCGGAGTGCATCTGCCTGAGAGTCAAGGAACCAACAGTCTGCATACATAGTCAGATCTGTCAAACAGATGAATGAAGGTGGTGAGTTGTGGTGAATACAGTCGTCTGCTAACAAATACGCCAGTAAAACGGATGTACACGCAAAACTCTGGCCCTGGTACAAAGCCAAAGTAGATATGTATGAACAACCAGGACTTTCTGCTGGAATTCTTCTTTTTCTTCGTGTTCACCAGCTGTAAACTCCGGCGAAAAGTTCTGGTTGTTCGTAAAGCACCGCGGCTCTTGCGGTGTCCGGTGCGCTTCCGTCGGCCCTTGAAAACCCCACGGAGACAACTCACCACCTTCATTCATCACAACTCACCACCTTCATTCATAACAACTCACCACCTTCATTCATCACAACTCACCACCTTCATTCATCACAACTCACCACCTTCATTCATCACAACTCACCACCTTCATTCATCACATCTCACCACCTTCATTCATCACAACTCACCACCTTCATTCATCACAACTCACCACCTTCATTCATCACAACTCACCACCTTCATCACAACTCACCACCTTCATCACAACTCACCACCTTCATCACAACTCACCACCTTCATTCATCACAACTCACCACCTTCATTCATCACAACTCACCACCTTCATCACAACTCACCACCTTCATTCATCACAACTCACCACCTTCATCACAACTCACCACCTTCATTCATCACATCTCACCACCTTCATAACAACTCACCACCTTCATCACAACTCACCACCTTCATCACAACTCACCACCTTCATCACAACTCACCACCTTCATCACAACTCACCACCTTCATTCATCACAACTCACCACCTTCATCACAACTCACCACCTTCATTCATCACAACTCACCACCTTCATCACAACTCACAACCTTCATTCATCACATCTCACCACCTTCATAACAACTCACCACCTTTACCACAACTCTCCACCTTCATCATAACTCACACACTGGACGACAGGTTGCTGCGTAACAGCTTTGTGGTATCCTAATCTAACCGTGCTGCATTGCTATGTGGTTGAACGGCGTTTCCGTGATTTGCAAATGCAGATCTGGAGGGGACGTACTTAAAACCCAACAACAACAAAACAATCCCAGCTGCAAGCCATGCGCCTAGCGTTGGTTTCGACACTGGTATCAGGGGGCAGACCGCCCAGAAAGAAATGGCAAACTACTAGATGTAAATTTGTCTAGAGAAACCACACAACAGCCAGGGGCTGTTGGGGTTGGTTCTGCAACGTCCTGTAAAGGGTTCGCAACTAACCTGTTACGCAATGAAAGTAATGGCGAATTAGAGAATGTAAAATTGCTCAGTAAAGCCAACAAGTATGCAGGCTAGTTCTGCATAGACCTGTGAAGGATATTCAACTAACCTTTTTCTTTGTTTACGAGCAGCGTGTCTATTCTTCCTCCCCTCCCAAAAATGATTTCCCTGGAACCCACAGAGGAAAAAGAGGATTTTACTCTACTTAAACTACTTCTGACAAAAACAAAACTCACCTTTAGGGCTTGTCTGCGAGTGACATAATTTTCTGAGTTCAGGAGCGATTGATAATGTGAAAACACCTCATCGTAATTGTGCTCCAGAAACTCAGAGGAAAGCATTTTGTGTTTCGTCAACAGTTCCTAGAAGTGGAAAGGAAAGATCAAATTAACAGCATAAAAAGGTTTATTCTTCTTCTTAAGAGTTCACCGGCAAAAAGTTCTGGTTGTTTGTACACTCCTAGGCTTTGGTCTTATTCCAAGACTTTAGTTTTGCGTGCACACTAATTTTACAGATCTGGCTATTTGTACTGAGACTGTTGGTTCCTCACCGCACTCCGACTTTTGAAGGAAACACTTTTTAATGACGCGCTTGTTAAGCAACGTCTGTGGTTTAGGTGTTGCGAACACCCTTCGTAATACCTGGGTGTCGGGTTTGATCACAGCTGCAAGCGATCTGACAGCACACCGCCTTGCGCTGGTTTCCACAGTAGTATCAAGAGTCCGCCTTTCAGAAAGCAATGGCGTATTAATAAATGTAAATTTGGAAGAAAAAAACTACAAAAAGTTACAAAAATAAATGCTACGGTTGGTTCTGCAACATCCTGTAAAGTACATGTAACTAACTTTTATTTTAAGGCGGCAGCGGGTCTACACCCCAACAGAGCCCTAGAATATACTACTGAAGAATTTACGCTGTTCTGTAACTTGGCTTACAAAATAGAAATACAGGTTAACAAACGTGTATCTCTAATAAACTAAAATGTGTATATACTCTGTACGTACTATCAAGTGATACTCTGTGTATGTCCTACCAAATGATACTCTGTATGTTCTATCAAATGACAACGCCCTGTGTGTTCTATCCAATGACAACACTCAGTGAGTGCTATCAAATGACAACACCCTGTATGTTCTATCAAATGACAACACTCTGTATGTTTTATCAAATGACAAAATCCTGTATGTTCTATCAAATGAGACCCTGTATGAATGTCCTGCACAAGACCCAGGCAGACTGGGCTACAAGTTACTCTGTCACAGTTTTGTGGTGCCTCAAAATAACTGTTGTGCTACATGGCTGTACGGCTGAACAAGGTTTTACGTATCTATAGCCGTTTTATTGTTCTTGAGATGCTATTCCTGCACAATGCTTAACTGGATTGGTCGAACTGTTACAAAAATATCCTATCAAGTCCTGGCATAAACACCCTCTACCTCTAAGGAAATCATATATTACCTTGAAGGTGGAAAAAGCATCTGATGCAATATCAAAGGTGGACACCTCAACGTACTCGAAAAACTTGTAGAACTCTGGAGAATTCAGCAAGATCTTGGCCAGGGCCTCAGAGCGGCAGCATTCGCGGAGCATCATGCCACAATTCAGGGCTATCTCTTGATTCTCATACCTGGAGAGGTGAAAAAAAATGGGAAGTGAAAGGACCTTTTGGCAGAAATAGTCTATCAGGATGTGGTGCTAAGGCGCATATTTTTCAAAGGGCAATATGATCAATATTGGATCGACACTTTTCCGTCTTTCAGACAATAGTGTTATACTGCGCTATGAGGAGGCATGGGACTCACAGCCCATGGCGATGGCGAGTGTGACTAGCAAGACCCACCTGCGTTAACTCTTTGAGTCCCAAGGAAAGCATCCTACGTTCATAGGTTCCTACCTAGAAGCCAAATAAACACATGATGCGCCGATTTTATTACTTTCTTGACTACCCCCTGGGCCTGTGATGCTAAACCCTCTGGGACTCAAAGAGTTAAAAAAGTCTTCCACAATTACAGCATGGAATTTCAGTAGGAAAGTTGTCAACATTTGAGTTCAATGTGTTTTATCTCAGACGCTCAGCTCGTATCCTTTCTTCCTTCATTCTCATCCCTGCTCTGATGTGCCCTCTCCACACAACATGGTCCATTGCCTTTTGTTCCCTTGAGTCCACCTCAATACCTGTATCATTCATGTCCCACTTGCACACATCCTTATATCGTAGCAGAGGTCGGTCTCAACATCTTCTACTCGACTTTAATTCACCATAGGGAATGCCCTGAGATTTTCAAGAAGTTTTTAATAAGATGTGAAAATTATTAGCAGATAAAGAGATAAACAACACATTACAAATGAGAATCATCAAATGTTATGTATACTCAGTCCTGCTATATGGCACAGAAACTTGGACAATGAACAAGCAACTAGCAAATCAAATTGAGTCCCTGGAGATGTTGGTATACAGAAGAATAGGTCGTATTTCGTGGAAACAAAAACAGTCCGACACAGAGGTTCTGGAAAGACTGTGAATGAAAAGAGAAATATGGAAAGAAATGTAAAGACAAAAAGATACAATTAAATATTATAGCCATACTTTTCTCCTTCTTCTTCACATTCACCAGCTGTAAACTCTGTCCGAAAGTTCTAGAAGTTCATCCACTTCTGGACTGCAGTCCTGTTCCAGAACCCGAGTGTTGTGTGTGCATCTGTTTTACAGATCTGACTCATTTGTATGCAGACTGCTGGTTCCTTGCACTCCGACTTCGAAGGAAGCTCCCAATTAGTCAACTCTCACGAGATGCTTTTGGATAAGCAGTGGGTCTACTCTTGTATTCCCTGTAATAGAACCCCGGAACCCACACGGGGAAAATTTAGCCATATTAAAAGACATAATATGCTTTTAAAAACCATACTGGAGGAAAGGGTAAGACAGCAAGAGGTAAACAATGTTACAAGTAGGAGGACAACACAAAGAGATGGACAAACACCAGTCAGAGAGCGTACAACCAGGGCAAGAGAGAGAGTGCTGGAAATCCCTTACAGGCAATCTTCGCTGTGGAGATGGCACCTCACTGACTGATCGATTTTCAAAGATCGATAAGGCTGCGTGCAGACTGGTCAATGACAAGGGAATGCAGAGGCAGAGCATGGGCATTACCTACCATCCAAGGAGGCTTCCATGAATGCAGTCAATACATGGCACAACGATTCTGGGCTCATCCAAGGAATGAGGTAAACAATGGGTGACTGCAGTCAAGGGAACTGCAAGAAATGCTGCATTAATCCAAGGAATAGCCACTTTCTGTACATAACTGCTTAATTTTACATCTATATACTGAGCCTTCCAACCATTACGGGCCGTGAGATTCCAAATTACTACACAGATGGGGAGCTAACTTCCTCAGAATGTTAATCCAAAACATAAAACAAACAAATTACCCCTTTACAAGATCAATCAAGAGTCCTGGGTTGGAACATATATACTCCTCTGTTGGCATCCGAGTGCCAATCTGGCGTCTCAGCAGATTGTTGAAGATCGCCACAACATCCTTTCTGCCCTGAAATTTTTTTTTTTTTAAATAAAATCAATAAATACCAGCTTGAACCATTTCGTCATCAATTTGAATTTTACTGAATGACAGGATGTGGAAAGCAAGGTAAGATCATCATAAATCAGCACGTCTTTTATAGAACGCCTAAAGGTCTCTCTTTCTCCCAAAAGCATGTCATAGGAGTCAATCAACTATTTGGGAGCTTTCTTCAAAGTTATTGTACATCTGCCTGAGAGGCAAGGAACCAGCAGTCTGATTACAAACGAGTCAGATCTGTAAAATGTAGGTTCTGGATCAGGACTGCAGTCCAGAAGTGGACAAACAACCAGAACTTTCCGCCAGAGTTTACAGCAGGTGAACACGAAGAAGAAGAAGATATACACCTCCCAGGCTGATGCATTCCAACTTTGAAGCAAACCCCTAATCAGTCGACTCTTATGACATGCTAGCAAGGAAGGCAGTGGGTCTATTCTTTTTCTACCCCATAACACAAACGGGGAGAGCATAGAACATAAGAGACACAATAGGCAGTAAAGTGCATGAGCCGGGAAAGCTGGCGATGGGCCGAGTTTGTTTCAGGTTGGCGGTGATAAGGGCAACGTTCTGGAAAGTCCCTGCTACATAATCATGCAGATATGGCATGTGAAACATGCAGTCCTTTGCAAGCACACATGCGGCCTTCAATTTAAAAAAAACATGGTGCAATAATTTTTTATTCTTCTTCTTCTCTTCCTCCTTGTACCTCATCTAAGTGTTGGGGATGTAGTGTTCGTTGATGAATAATTTTTATTAAATTACTTAAATTAGTTGTTGTGACAACGCAAATGTGACCCATATGGCCCTCGGAGGGGGGGGGGGGGTTCTTTTTGACATGCCTGACGAAGACAGATTTTTTTAACAGGCAAGTCACATTTTGCTTGCTCATGGTCAATAAAAATAGTTCGGACATCTGAAGACAAAAACCTTATAAATTACTGATAATAGCCAAATAAATCGAAATCCATGGCCAGTCTGCCATACATTCTAAAAAAAAAAGTGGGTTTGTTTATGGACTGCATTACTGAGTTCATGAGTTTAATCATTAAGGAGATTTCTGGTTGTTGCCGAAGTTGTGGAATTCCCTTGGCAGGTGACCAGTTGAAAGAAAACATGCCAGATAGGACAAAGTCTAATACCATAAAGCTGATCCTTTTATTCTTAGCCTGTAATCATAAAATAAGCACAAATTTTAATGATTATTATTCTTTAAGTTCACCGGCTGTAAACTCCTGTGCGAAGTTCTGGTGATTCGCCAACTTCTGGTCTTAAGTATTGTTCCATAATTTGGATTTGCATGCACTTCCTTTTTACAGATCTTGATTACCTGGGTGCAGACTGTTGTTACCTTGCCGCTCAGGCAGATGTGCTCTGACTTCGGAGGAGGAACTTTTATTTACATACCTCAAAATCTACCCGGGCCAGGTTTTGAACCAGCAGTTGTAGCGTGTTGTTCTGGTACATCTCCGTGGACAACATGGCAACTTGCTCACTCACAGGTTCCTGGTCAGCTGTTCCATACAGCAGCGTTTTTATGGACTGAAGGGTCTTGGACACTTCCTCGCTGACCTGTATAGAGGAATGAGGACAAAGGTATGAATGGCACTAAATGGTAAGACACAGTCAAAACACAGCAGAGGTACTGGAAAGAGTAAGTATCAAAATGGAAAATGCTATGTTACAGATGTGTAATAATATCTAACGGCCTCTCAAAGAAATACCACAGGGCTCAGTAGAAAAGAGAAGCAGGAGAGGCAGACTACGAAAGACCTGGACAGACAACTTGACCGACTGAACAGGCTTTAGGAATGCAACCATGAAGTCCACTGCATCTGACCATAAAAGGTGGAGACAGCTGACCAGACAGTCAACAGCAATGGGTGACCCAATGATACGTACTGAGGCGGGACGATGAGGATCACAACAGTTTTTTCATCGCTCAGTCTTCGGAGGCTCAGATGGCCAGGACACGTTTTGAGGATGGAGGATGGGAAGAAGATGTACAGGCAGGCCTCTACTGTGATATGTTGTTGTTGTTCCTCCATTACAAGTGATGAAGACCACACTCTTTGATGTGTCATGAAATTAAAACTGAATGTCTGTGACTCCGGAGGTCACTTATAAGCCCAAAATTGGTCTGGAAGGATTTAGGACAATGAGGGCATGGAACAGTGTTTGCGGGTAAAGGGCCTGTTATAGGTGTCTTTCTAGCCTGTCTTTGGTGTTCAGCTGAACTTTATCTAGATGTCTCGCAAGTGGCTGCACCTCTTCGGATAAACGTTTGCCATAAAGTCTCCCAGGTGTCAGGGTCTATAATGAAGGCTTAAGGTCAGTGATCTCCAACCTTTGGGGGGAGGGGGGGGGGGGGGGAACAGGGAGGGGTATATCGTAGAGGTCCAATAATTAGCGATGTTTCCTTTGGAGTGTATCTGCCTGACTGGCAATGAACCAGCAACAGTTTGCATTAAATCAGCTGGATCCTCACTGGTGCTACAGAGTTTGTGCAATGCGCTGAAATTCTTTGCACTCAGACTTCAGTTAGAAGTAGAACAGAGCACTTATGGGTTACTAAAACTTTAAACCTGAGTCAGACATTTAAAATTAATATTTATGCACAACTTATTCTGGAACAAGACTAGAGTTCAGAAGTGACTGAACAACCAGAACTTTCTGCCGGAGTTTACTGGCGATAATTGCTAAGAAGAAGAGAAGTCTTCTGGTCTGAACTCACCTTCTTGTATTCTTTCTCCTTTAAAGTGGACAGCTGCAGCAAGTTTTCCTTCAGAGATCGCACCAGCTCCTGAGGACTTTTGGTTCTGGGACCAAACAGAGGCATGACGACAGTGGGAGCTGGGCACAGCTTCTGTATAAACTCTGCACGACCTCTTCCGTATCAGAAGTTACAAGCAGTCAAAGACTGGGTTGCCAGGTGGTGAAGTTGGCCAGATTTAGGCAGTTTTACTGCAGATTCAAGTCAAGACAAAATTGAAATAGATAATTTATTTGACACATGCTTCAAATAATATATAATTGTTAAGTTTACAATTCCAGACCTCCAGGGTGACCCAGTGTACGGTCTCAGACATATTTAGATATGGGGTTTCTAGGAAGATAACAGTGAAATATTTTTATAAATTACCTTTTCGAGGTAGGTAATAGACAACAAATATTTTCAAAGGGATATAACTCCAGTGAAAGTTTACTTTTACTGATTATCACAATAAATAAAGAAATGCACAATAACCTGGAGCGCCAATGTGACTGTTAAATTAAAAATTGTAGTCACAAGAAACACATTTTTTTAAAGTAAAGACCCCTTTTTACACCTTTAGGCGCATCAGGCAAATGGGAAGAGCATCCATATTTATACAGACCAATCGGCACTAGGTGGGTAATGTGGTCAGCATTACGCCGGTCGTCTTTAACTAATGGGAGATATGGACACCACATAGTCACAATAGCATATGAAAATTTAACCCGCATACTGTGCGTGGTTTGGGAGGTGTTAACGCTTCATTTATAATGAACACGCGAAATACAGAAAGGGTTTATCTGATCGTAGTCTGGGGCCCTAATTTAACCTAATGGTTGAACAGGGTTTCTGGGACATCTCAGTCGATGCTCATCCGCATTGCAGCACTTTGTGTCACCGGGTGTTTATCGCTTGGTGGATGTGCTGCCAGGGTTGAATCTAAACTTATATGGCAGTCGCAGGTAAATATTTTATGTTGAAAGAATTTGTGTAGCCTCTCTGGTGTATGATGATTAAAGTAGTGTGTCCCCGTTGTAAATTTGAACAAAGAAGAAACAAACAATAGATTGCACAATTTACTGCCTGGCATATTTCACTGTATCATGTCAGGTGGATAAAGGATTCACTTATTTGCTTCTTTGATGTAATTGTTACTGCAGTATGCACCTGACGAGATACAGCCAAATATGCCAGGCAATAAATTGTTATGATTATTAGATGCATCTTTTGATGTAGACTGCACACATCACGACCCTGCGGCTTTGTGTTTAGTGTCAATTGGCTGACTGATCCCCTGTGTGGGTTCCGGGGCCCCATTGTGGGGAAAACAAGAATAGACCCACTGCCTCCCCAAAGGCATGTTGTAAGAGTCAACTAATTGGGGAGCTTCCTTTGAAGACGGAATGCGTCTGCCGGAGAGGCAAGGAACCAACAGTCTGTATTCAAGAGAATGAGATCTGTAAAACTGATGCACACGCAACACTCAGGTTCTGGAGCAGGACTGCAGTTCAGTAGTAGACGAGCAACCAGAACCTTCCGCCAGAGTTTACAGCTGGTGAACGCGAAGAAGAAGAAGAAGAAGAAGACTGACTGATTTCAGGTACTAAATCAACAATAATAGTGCATAATTTAGGAACTTTAGTCTTGTTTTATAAATGTAATTTCACTTATGAAATTAATACTGCTGTTGGATAGACCTGGAGACACTCAGCCCAACAGCACCTCAATTAGGTTTGTAAACTTTAATAATACATATATTCTACCGTAGTTTCAATAATTTTATTAAATGTTTTTTTTTAAACATAATTAATAAATAATCAAAAGGTATCCTCTAGATTCAGATAATAATATTTATTTTTTAAATCATAATATTTACTAAAATACTAGCAGTAGTATTAGTAAAGAATAGAGTGGAAATACAATATTCGTCTTTTTTGTAATTCATCCCGTTTTTCGTTGAAATTTTTGTTTTATATTTGCCTTAAAAGCTCATAATTATAATTCCTCCAGCCTAGCTCGTGAGTCATCAAAAAGAAAAGAAGGGCCCATTGCAGGTGCTGAAATTAGGGAATAGCTGTTCACTCAAACAAAACCTATGTCTCATGGTAATAATTAGTAGAAGTACCTAACAGTGGCTACTGTATGGGAGGACTGAGCATGCATGGGAATTCATGACATCAATTGTGATATCAGAATATCATAACATGGGAAAAATTGCAGGATTTCATTGAGAAATGGCACTCAAACATCGCTATAGTTAATCAACGTATCAATTCATTTGATGACGATGTGTTTGGTCACTTTTGTAATATTTTAAAAATCAGAACAAAACAAACAGCATCGAAAAACTTTTTACAACAAACAATAGTGAGTGCTGGTGAACTGCCAGGAAATGCTGATAAATTGTGAGGACATCTCAATCACCAGAAGTGACATTGCCTGATGTCGTAATCCAAACAATAGCCACTTGTTTATTTGTGTGCCAAACTTGAGCTGGGAACAGACTCAACCACTTTTTAGCTAACTGCAAGAATGACAGCTGGTACTAGATTCATCGAGAAACAGCAGATCAAATGGTTTGGCCATCTCGTTAGAATACAGCAACATTAAATATTATCACAGGCGCCATATCTCAGACGATCAGCTACAAGAGCAAGAGGACGGCCATAAAAAATAAAATATATATGGATTAACAACATTAAAGACACTTGACATCTTCATGCACGTCATGGCATGACAAAAGCCTAGATCGCACATTTTTCCTCCCCATGATGCTTGATGGCAGAATGGTTTACGATGATGATGATGTGTTAAATCCAATCAATAGGAATAATTCGTTTGACAGTAGTCCTTTTTTGCCTTCCCCTCAGGAACGGATTAATGAAATTATGAATACTTGATGATTGAGCCGCACTGCAAAAACAACTTTCTAAAAAAATGTCTCATTGAAAATCGACATCATAGCACTCTGGACCTTCCCATAAGTGCTCCAACCCTATCTTCAACAGCAACCAAAGAGTTTTAATTTCAATGTTACTAGTAAGTGTCTGATTGTACATCCGTCTCGCCTTTTCCTTGAGTGTTGAGCTGATTGTGTGTGGCAGATCCCTGAGAACCCCTGCGATGTCCCCATACTTAATAATAAAACGACTTACTTTAAGAAGCCATGATCAATCTTTCAATATTATGAACGCAAATATTCACACATTCTGTTGATATTTAATTCACAAATAAATAATGAAATCTTATGTTGGACCAACTAATCAAACGGCCACCCGTCACCGTCTCAAAAATAACGGACAACATCGCATCGTGATTTGGATTTGTTTATTTTTATTTAACAATATATTTTTTTTTAAATTTAGGTAAGTACCTACTTACTTTACTGCACATTAAGAGGTAATACTTTTACAGTAATACATAATTATGTCAGCTGAATTATCACACGTTCCTTAATCTGCCTGTGAATTGAGTTTAAAGCCTTATTTTTGGAATAACCACCACCCCAACCAACGACACAAGACAAGAAGAAGACTGGATGTCTGGTCTCCAACAAAAACAACGAAACTGCCCAACAGAAAAGGAAGAACAGAAACCGCCAACTCAACAGGTGACTATCCTATGTTGATCCTAGCAGCCATGTGCGGTAGGGAAAGTGTGAGAAAGGACTTACATAAGTAAAACAACGCCAGAAAGATGCCATAATTTGGAGGACCAGGGTGAAACTTTCCACTGCCAGACCTCAGCAAAAGTTAGCACTGACGTCACGACCTGCGCAGACACGGAAGTAAAAACAAATGGTGCTTCCGTGATTTACTCCTTTCGGTTTTTATTATTATTATTTTTTTCCCCCATAAATTATTCAATAATGCCCTGTGACACCATACCATACAAAGCATACACGGAAAGAGAAGAAGGACGTAGAGCACGAGGTAGACCAAGAACAAGATGGAAGGATAACATCAGAGAAACTCTACAACAGCACGATGTGCCTATGGTCGAGGCGGCCAGAAGAGCTAGAGACAGAACCTTATATCTCCCTCGACACCCACAGCGGTAAAAGAGGAAGGGAAGAAGAAGAAGAAGATTCAATAATTTATTGCTGGCTTTGGATAGGACGTCGGCTCTGTGGCTAAGTCGATGCGAGCGCTTCGTAATGCCAGGATGCTGGGTTCGATCCCAGCTGCAGGCAATGCGCCTTGCGTTGGTTTCGACAGTGGTATCGACAAAGCCGAGCGTCCAGAAAGCAATGGCAAACTACTGAACGTAGATTGCTTAGAAAAACCACACAACAGCCAAGGGCTGTTGGGGTTGGTTCTGCAACGTCCTGTAAAGGATACGCAACTAACCTAACCTAACATTCAATAATGTATTGCTGGCGTTGGATTGGCACACATTAAGAATACCCGAAAACAGCTTCACTAGAATGTCTTTGCATTGGAACCCACAGGGGCATAGGAATGAAGGAAGGCCAAAAAACACATGGAGAAGAGAGCCGGAGAATGAAGTTAGAAAGATGGGTAGGACATGGGGAGAGCTCCAGGCAATAGCGAATGATAGCAAGACTTGGCGTGAGTTGGTCGAGGGCCTATGCTCCATTAAGGGATAGAAAGGCAGAAAAAGAAATAGAAGAAATTAAGGTGTTCTCCTTGTCTCCCAGGTGGGCGTCTGTGGCTTAGCTGGTGAGAACATGCTTTGTAATAGCTTAGTATCGAGTTCGATCCCAGCTGCAGGCAGTAGGCTGTTTTGCGTGGTTTCGACCGTGGTATCAACAGCCGACGAAGTTGAGTCAAGAATTGACATCACAGCACTCGGGGCATTCCCATGCGTGCTCCATTCTCATCTTCAGCAGCCAGCGCAGAGTTCAAATACTAATGGTACCAGTCAAAATCTGGTTATATGTCTGTCTTGCCTTTCCTCTGAGTGTAATTCCTCTGAGTGTAATGAGCTGGCCAGACCCTCTGGTTACACCCAGGTGCCTCATTCTCTCCAGGCCATAATATTCTTTGTTTTTCTACTGATTCAGTTGCTTGTTCCCAAAGGGCCTTGACTACATCTGTCTTGTCATGTATCAATTCACCACC